TTGGGTGGTATTTATGTTAATAACCATTCAAATCAAAATTTTTTCACAGCCCCACCAGTCTACCACTCTAGTGTGCGGCATGTAAGAATTTGGTGGTGTGTATGTAAGAGCCCATTTGGGGCAGCTTATTGGTACGTTTGGCGTTTTGAACCCGCGCAAGTGGCGTTTGTTTTGTACGTTCGGTCTGCGCATCCCGACCAGCAGTTTGGATTCGTCTATTAGACGCGACACGGGATCGACCCTGCAGCTCGCTTCTTTGAACAAATTATTACTCTCTTAATTCTTTGATCGACCTTCTCCTGCTCTAGCCCGAGGTAACTCCTCACTCAGTTCTCTCCTGCGAATGCTCCTATCTCGCTCGTTGCCTCTTCCTCCTACTTTTGATCCCTGATAATTGTGCTTTGTAAGTATTTTCGATGGAATGTGGTTGTATATGCAATTTTTGGTGGTTTTTATCGATGGAATGGTTTCTCTATGCAATTTTCCGTTGAAATGGCTTTCTTCACAAGATCTTTCGATTTATTGGATATTTTGGAGAATGGAATGAAACTTGGTATATAAGTGCTGGTTCAATGCGTCTGTCTTTTTGGATTATGGTTGATTGCTCTATCTAGTTGTGTTGGTTCTAAGGGTGTTGGCTGTAGGTGCTTTGCTTGATGGTTGTGTGTGTTGGTGGTGGCTGTGAGTGAATAGTATGCATTGATATGATTGCTTCATCATGTTTATGGTGTGAGACATTGCATGATGTGAAACATTGCATCAAATAATTATGGTAAAGAGAAATAAATTTCACACACAGAAACATCATGCTGTGGAACATTTCATAAGATAGCATCAGCTAATCTGTTAGGTGAACATTATGCATTGATAGCCCTTTCTCTACATGCAATCTAAGATTTTTCGATAAAATGGTTAATTCTCTTTGTGGTTTGCTTTTCTCACATGTTTTTTTTTTTAATTTTTTGATAATTTGGAGAATGATTTTTATGGAGTTGTTATGTGACTGTGTGGGGGTTGTAATGACGTTGTGTGTGCTATGTGATGTGGTTGGTTACGGTGTGTGTTCTGTGTTTAGGGTTGTGAGCATCTCTATGGCTGGGTTGTGGCCGTGATGGAGGTGGTTTGTGGCGGTGATGGGGGCTGCTTTTGTGCTTATGATGGGGGTTATATCTGCTTATTATTAGGGGGGTGGGTTGTGGTTGTGATTAGGGGTGGTTTCTGCCTATTTGGTAGCTATCTTAAGACTGGGTTGTGGCTGTGTGGGGGTTGTGATGGAGTTGTGTGTGCTCTGTGTTGTGGTTGGTTGTGGTGTGTGCTTTGTGTTTAGGGCTTTAGGCATCTCTATGGCTGGGTAGGTTGTGGCTATGATGGGGGCTCCATTGTGCCTGCGATGGGGGATATTTTCTGGCTATGATGAGGGTGGTTTGTGGCTATGATGGGGGGTAGTTTCTGCTTAGTTGGTGGTTGTCTTGGGATTGGGTTATGGCTATATGGGGGTTGTGATGGAGCTGTGTGTGCTCTGTGTTGTGGTTGACTGTGTTGTGTGCTCTGTGGTTAGGATTATAGGCATCTCTATGGTTGGTTCTTGGCTGGTAGGATTATAGGCATCTCTATGGTTGGTTCTTGGCTGGGATGGGGATTGTTTTCTGCCTGTAATGGGGGCTGCTTTGTGCCGATGGGGGTTGTTTTCTGGCTATGATGGGGGGTGGTTTGTGGTTGTGATGGTGGGTAATTTCTGCATAGTTGGTGGTTGTCTTGGGATTGGGTTATGGCTGTGGGAGGGTTGTGATGGAGCTGTGTGTGCTCTGTGTTGTGGTTGGCCGTGGTGTGTGCTCCGTGTTTAGGGTTATGAGCATCTCTGTGGTTGGTTTGTGGCTGGGATGGGGTTTGTTTTGTGCCTGTGATGGGGGTCATTTTGTGCCTGTGAGGGTTGTTTTCTGGCTATGATGGGGATCAGTTTGTGGCTGTGATGGGGGGTGGTTTCTGCCTAGTTGGTCATTATCTTGAGACTAGGTTGTGGTTGTGTGGGGGTTGTGATGGAGCCGTGTGTGCTCTGTGTTGTGGTTAACTGTGGTGCGTGCTCTGTGTTTAGGGCTGTGGGCATCTCTATGGCTGGGTTGGGGGGTGGGGTAGCTTGTGGTTGTGATTAAGACTACTTTGTGTCTGTGATGGGGACTATTTTCTGGCTATGATGAGGGGTGGTTTGTGGTTGTGATGGGGGGTAGTTTCTGCATGGTTGGTGGTTATCTTGAGACTGGGTTGTAACTGGTGGGGCTTATGATGGAGCTGTGTGCTCTATGTTTTGGTTTGTTGTAGTGTGTGCTTTGTGTTTAGGGTTGTGGGCATCTCTTTAGCAGGGTTGTGGTTGTAATAGGGGGTGGTTTGTGATTGTGATGGGCAATGTGGTTGGTGGTGGATGCGACTGTGAGTGTGTGTGTTGGTAGCTGAGTTGGTGGTGGCTCTGAAGGCTTGTGGCGGGCTGTGAGTATGACTGAGCTTGGGTCTGTGGGTTGGTGGTGGATATGAGTGTATGTGTGGCTGGTGGCTCTGGAGACTGTGCTAGTGGATGTGGGTGATGAGCTTGTTGGTGGTTGTGGAGGTTGTGTTAGTGGCTATGGGTGTGTGTGTGTGGTGGGGGTGGTGGTTATAGGTGTGTGTTTAGTGGGGAATGGTTCCTGTGGGTGTTGTGCTTCTGGCTAGTAGCACTATCTCTTTTTTGGTTGACCTAAAAGTTTTTTGTATTTTCTTCTCTTTATTAGTATCGTAAATGTAAAGACCAAAGAAGTTGCCTCATCAGCAATGTGGGATAAGGTAGTCAGAATAATATTTTGCAACCTCCGTCTTAAAGAGTTCAAGCTTGGAAATTGACCCACCATCTACTTTAACAAAGAAAGGTGATAAAATATTACGAAGAAGTTCAATGAAATGACATGAAGGAACTACAATAGGTTAAAATTTAAGAACAAGTGAGATTAGTTGAAAAATGACTGCATGTTATGGAAGTAACTAAAAACGGGGATCCACAGACTTAGGTTGACATCCAATCAAACAAACTATAGATTCTATGAAGGAGTGGTAGAATGAGAAATTGGAGTAAATGGCCAAACCCCTCAAGACTTGTTTTTCCATTCTTTATCCCTCAAATTTGTTTTTAGCAAAAAACTTTCCCGTATGTTGCAGGCAATGTCAGCTGTTAAGAAATTCAAATTAAGTGGTATTGAGTCAGACATAAGTTCGACCCTATGTTCAGTGGGGTTATTGCAACAGGCACGCAAACGTTCACCCCAAGTGAGCATGGGTTTGCAAGCATACCAGAGGACTTGGAGACCGAGCAGGTAAGTAGGTCAGGTGAAGGACCCAACCTAAACTAGAAGGACCTGGGGCCCACATGTAGGTCAAAGCGGCCAAGGGTGGAGAAAAGGGAAAAAAAGAGTCTATTTTATCAGAAACACAGTAACAAAACTGGTGGAAGCGCACCCAATTCAGGTTGGTACCTCACAGGACACCTCCATAGAAGAATTTCTTTGAGTTATGCAAACAAATCCTGAAGTTATGAGGATAAGCCATTCTGTCTGAAATCCTTGAAGTTGCTGGAGAACCCGACTCGCAGATAGATACTGTTCTAAAGTAGTTTTTTGCTTCTCATGTATCAAGTATATTGCTATGACAATTCTGTGATCGTCATTTATCCACAATCAACTGAAAATCAGCCGTTTTCCAACAACACAAACCAAATAACCGACTAGCTTATCCGAATCAGCTGTTGATCAACATATTATTTAGATCAGTTGCTTATCAATAGATTGTTAGTAAGTTGCAGCTGTCCCAAACAGACCCTAAATCTCCTACAATTCTTCGCCGCCTCACTGCTTGGACTAGCTTGCCTCTTTATTTTATCCCATATCGCGATATTGACAAGAATTCAATTGCTAACCCACTATAAATATCAAAGCCAAAAGATAGGAAATCAGGACTTATCACTTGCTCTGAGAAAACAGTATTATTTTACATTTTCCTTTCAAATAAAAGTATATGAAATAATTTAAAAAAAAAATGTCTGAAACTTTATTCGAGCTGAAATTTGAACATGAGCTTAATTTGAAAAGAATATGTTTGAATCAAGTCGAGCATTAACAAGCTATTAATGAGTTATTTCAAACACAAACCAAATACCAACATGAATAAGTCTCTGCCTAACTCAAGTTTGACTCATTTGCACCCCTACTTATTGGCAACCAAACACCTCCTAATGAGGGTATGTGCGCCCTCATATTAGTTCACACATCATTTCTTGAAGGTTATAGCCCAATTATCAATTTTCATTCCCATATTAGTTCAAGCCAAAAAAGTTGAACCAAATGAACTAATCGCAATCATTACTTCACATTTCTTAAGACAATTACTTAAAATAAATTTGAGCAATCGTGGATTAGATGATGACTCGATGATTAGATATTTTCACCCACACTCAAATATCTCATTCTCTCCCACACTGAAATGTCCAATAAAAAGAAAAAAAAAAGTGCTAATCTTTAACCATAACCAATTAAATTAAGTAAAAATACAGAACATTTTGGCTATCCTTCTTTTGCCTTCTCTATCCAAGCAAATCATAGCGCTTATTTATTATTATTATACTAATCTTAGTTGGTTAACCAGAAAATTAGGCACACATTTAGTGCTAAACCTTATTAATAAAACTAATAATAACAATTAGTTAATAACACCGAAAATGCCAGCCGCAAATTTCTGTGAATAACCGTCAACGGCCAACCATGCCATGGTGTTACAGATGACCCGCACCGGAACGTTCCCGGACCGCATCCCTCCATTCCTCCCGCCAAATCAAGAAAACTTCATGGCGGACCGTCGATCTTATCCTTACCCACCTACGTGGACGGTCCCCATTCAACACACGCGTGCTTCCCGCCGCGCGAAAAGTTCGTTTCTTAAAATGAGCCCGAGCACGGCGGACGGCTCTCCAAAACGGAAAGATGCGAATGCCAAAAAAGGAAATATGTTTTTGGGGGGTTTTTTTCCCATTTTAAGCACAGTGCCTTCTTCCTCCTTTTTTTAATCTGAGAAATCTGGAGATCGTTAACGAGAAAGAAATGGATTCTGGAGAGGGAAGCGAGATATCGGAGAGGCCTCAAATAAGCCTGAAGAGACTAATCTTCGCCTGTACGGTCGCCGGAGGAGTTCAATATGGATGGGCTCTCCAGCTTTCACTGCTCACTCCCTACATCCAGGTTTTCTTCTGTTTTTGTTGATTTGCTAGGGTTTGCTCTGTTCGGTATCATGGAGATTTAGTGTTTTATGGAATGATAGGATCGATGAGATGATGGCATTGTCTTTTAAATGTAACATGGTTGATTTGATTGAAGCATTGATAAATTTTCAAATGCTTAAATGTTGACAAATTGGAATGCGCGATATGAAGATTTTGGAATTAATCTTTAATTCTCTGTTTTTTTTTATTTGCTAGGGTTTGCTCTGTTCGGTGTCATGTACATTTTAGTGTTTTATGGGATGATAGGATCGATCAGATGATGGCATTGTCCTTTCAATGTAACATAGTTGATGTGATTGAAGCATTGATAAAATTTCAAATGTTTAAATATTAACAATTTGGAATGCGCGATCTGAAGATTTTGGAATTAATCTTTAATTTTCTGTTTTTTTCAATAAGGCTATTATCTGATCTTCCTGTTGATGCGGAAGGTGGTGCAATCAACCAGCCATCAACAAATTTAACCAACATTTATAACTTATTATAGTAGGATTTTAATATACTCGCGGTTTTGAAATTACCAATTAGGGTTAATTATTGTAATATTATTTTTAGTCTGATTTATTAGATTTTGCTTGTACGCGTCTATGTCTGTGTATTTTCTCTAGGATTTCACATGCGATAAGATTTTGTCATCCCACTCTTTAAGTGCTCCAGTTTTTTTGGATTTTTTTTTCGAAATTTGTGATTTTATTCTCATCTATTACTTGGTTTTCGTATGAAATTTTGTATTCTTCTTTTTCTTTTACTGCTTATCATATTAATTTCGTAAAAGTGATATTAGAGCGTTGGTTTTGATTTTAACAATGCAAATAATGAAGTCCGATATTCTATTTTTGAATTGCAGCACCATATTTTTGCTTTGATGGGTTAGCATACCAGCTTTATTGATTGATGCTTATGAGTTTAGATGATGCGTTGTTAAATTTTGACAAAATTTGTTTATGTGGATGTCGGATGGGTAACAACATAAGCATAAAAAAGTTTTATCCTAAATTTATTTTCTTAAATCGAATTAGATTCTACATGACATTTTGAAGGAGAAGATTTTTCCATTGTGTAATAGCTAAAATTGAAGCATTTGTGCATAAAAGAAGTCTTATCACAATTGAGTTTGAAGCAGCATTTGTGCTCTTATAGCTACGTTGGGTGAAGAAGGTAAACTGATAGGAATATAGAAATAATTCTCAACTTTACTGGGGCTTAGAATCAATTAGAAACTAAACCACACAGCGGAATAATAGGATTGCACAAATTTGAGATAAATTGTAACAAAATTTAAATGGAAGCACAAACAAAGCAAAACCAGAAAGTGAACACAAGATTTTTATGTGGAAAAATATGAGAACGGGAAAAAACAAAAAGCCACGCCACCAAAAAAATTCTACTATGAAATCAAAGAGTTTTATAGAAAACCTGCACCATTTTTTTCTCAACACAAAAGAAAAATTACAGGACTCACTCCACAATCTTCCTTCTTCTAATCCAATGCAAGAATCACGTTGAATTACCAAAATTCACATTTTCAATGTCAATCAGAAAGGACGGAAATCATACAACTAAATTAAGAGTTTTCTATAATTAGGAGGTTCCTTATTTAAATTATTTCCAATTTCTTTATTCTGATTTATTTCTCTGTTTGCTGAATATTTAGATTATGAATATGCATTATTTCGTTATCTTAAATAGATTATACAAAATATTTTGTACCTAAAATATATTCTAAGATTATTATTTAATGGAATAGAAGCAAAGGGAAAAAGGATCAAGCCTATTTAGAATTCAGCCTATTCACGCAAAACTTAGGATCGAGCCTATTTAGAATTCAGCCTATTCACGCAAAACTTTGACATGGTATCAGAGCCAAATTTATTCCCTATCCACGAGTAGTCGTTGGAGGAACTATTTCCTTGCCTTAATTCACCCATCCGACGAAGCCCCTCGCAACGGAAGCAGACACGAGTCTGCACGCTTTGCCTTAGAATCGTTTGGAGGGATCTTCATCCGCTGTGACTACTTTGTCCGTCTGCTCATTTGGTGAACCCAACGTGAATTGCTCGTCTGCTCGTATGCTCGTCATTTGTTCTATGTCTGATTATTTCTTCACCTACGTTGTCTTTGTTCTACTTTGTCTTCCTCTTCGACTTGGCCGGTCTCGACAGAGCCCCTCCTTCATTCGAAGTCCGCTAGCAGCGGCTCCTGCTTCTTCGTTACCTTCATCTGCACGTCGATGAGACATTTCATTTTTTTCATCTGTACGTCTGATCTCAGCTTCAACACTTTTGGCATGAAGATCAGGGAACAAATCGACCTCGTCGTCATCGGAAGAATCAATAGCATATGGATCGTATAACAGGGCGCGGATCCTACTTGTGGGCTATGATCGGTAGCATTTTGATAGTGTAATTGGATCCTACTTGTGGGCTATGATCGGTATTATTTGGATCGTGTAACTAGATCCTTCTTGTGGACTATAATCGCTAACATTTCAATCGTGTAACTGGACGTGAATCCTTCTTGTGCGAATGATTCAAATTTCTGGACAACAACGATAGAGGATTTCTTGCTTTTCTTTGCTCAAATCATATTATGGTTTAGGAGTTGTCTCTGAGGTTTAAACTTTCTCGGCTTTAGCACTCACAGCTTGAGGATTGTTGGTCTCGACAAAGTTTCTTGTTGGCAAACTGATGCTTCTCAATCAATCAACATCAAATTGAGGGGGATGTCAATCAGGAAGGACGAAAATCATGTAGCTAAATTAGGAGTTTTCTATAATTAGGAGATTCCTTATTTAAATTATTTCTAATTTTTTTATTTTGATTTATTTTTCTGTTAGTTGAATATTTATATTATGAATATGCATTATTAAGTTAGCTAAAATAGATTATATATAATATTTTGTACCTAAAATAGATTGTAAGATTATTATTTAATGGAATGAAAGCAAAGGGAAAATGGATCGAGCCTATTCACAATTTAGTTTATTCACGAAAAACTTTGACATTCGACTCTTCTTACCTTCACCGGGAGGAACACAATTGAAGAAACCAAAAGAAAAAAATGGTCCAACGATGCCTTATGTCGCTCAAAATCGAGAGTTATACCAAAAAATCTTGTGTTAATAGCTCCGGGCGCATAGATCCCCAGACTTGGAGTTTGAGCGACAATTGCTTTGGAAGCAGGCATCCCAGCGAAGAGCTCATATTTGGTGCCTTAGCACCCATAAGAGGGCACAGGAGCGCCCCCGACTCTGTAAGCAGCGTCTAATGGGTGCTTAAGCGCCTGAGAGAAAGTCAACGCCAGTAGTAGGTGCCAGTGCACCTAAATACTTGTTGCTCGTGGGTGTTCCAATCAGGCTCCACAAGATAACAATATACCACTTGGAGACTGATTGCACCAAGTCTAGACCTTTGTGCCTGCAACTCCATCTAAATTGCCTTTATAGTCACGTACCATGGCCATATACTGTGGTGTGGCTCACCCTAATCTCAACTTCATGAAACCCAAAAGTCAAACATAGCTTCAATTTCTCAATAGCCATTGCTTTTGTTAATAAATATGCATGATTCTCAGTTGTGTGTATCTTCTCCAGAAATAACTGTTCATCTTCTAATTAAAAGTGCAATACCTCGGCTGAATGTCTTTTGTTCTTGTATGAAAAGCAACGTTCTTAGTAAGATGAATTGCACTCATACTGTCATTGTAGAGTTTTTCATTCCCTTACTCCTTGCTCAATTCTGGCATGAAATTCTGTAGCCAAACCATCTCCCTACTTGCCTCAATGATACCAATATATTTAGCCTTCATAGTTAAAAGTGCAACGATCTTCTGCAACTTGGAAACCACTCACTGTTGTGTTACCCAATGTAAAGTTATACCTCGTTGTACTTCTCCTACTATCCACATCTTCTGCCATATCCGAGTCTACAAATCCCTATAGGCTAATCCCCGCGATTCCATAACAAAGTGCCATGTTGACTATTCTCCTTAAATATCTGAGCATCCACCTTACTGTCTCCCAATGATGCCTGCTTGGATTGCCCATATACATTATGACCATCCCACTGCATATGTAATATCTGGCCAGGTACAAATGCCCACATACATCAAATTTTCAACTGTTGAAGCATATGGAGTTCTCACCATCTATGCTTGCTATGCTTCAGAGTTATAACTCCTTCTATAGTTTGAAGTGACTACCTAAGGGAGTGCTAACTAGTTTCGCCTTACATTGAATTTTTGTTAGGTCTTTCAACATACTTTGCCTGAGACAACTTCAGTATTCCCGCACTCGTGTCCCTATTGATTCTCATGTTAAGGATCTTCTTGGTTGGACCCAATTCCTTTATCTCCAACTCACTTGATAACTGTTTTTTCAAGTTCTTGATTTTCTCCATATCTACAATTAACTTGTCATTGACATATAAGAGAAGCAAGATATAACAATTATCAAAGTGTTTGATGAAGTAGCAGTGGTCTGTCTAACATTTCAAGTACCCGTTGTCTGAGATGAACCTGTCAAACCTTTTGTACCACTGTCTCGGGGCTTACTTCAAGTCATAAAAGCTCTTCTTCAATCTACAAACCAAACCTTCTTTGCCTGAAAACTTGTAACATTGTGGTTGACCATGTATAGCTCCTCGTTCAGATCTCCATGTAAGAAAGCTATTTTTACATCCACCTGCTCCAGATGTTGAACTTCTTCTGCTACTAGACTTAATACAACCTTGACAGTCATCATCTTTGCAACTGGAGAAAAGTTCTCTGTATAGTCTGCTCCTTCTTTCTCTGAAAATCATTCACAATAAGCCTTGCCTTGTAGCGCTTGCTACCATCTGATTCCTCTTTCAGCCTGTAGACCCACTTGTTGTGTAGTACTATTTTGCTATTTGGTGGAACCGTTAAATTCTAAGTCTAATTTGACTCTAAGGATTGCATTTCTTCATCCATGGAATGCTT